TCTTTCTAAAGAAATAGCCTAAAATTTGAAGTGCTGGAAAAGGGATAATATACTTTTGTCTTAAAGAAGCCAGATGCAGTCATTATTGATGAGAGCACCAATTATTCTCCAAACATTCTGAATTTCTTTGAAGGAACATAAAATCAGTCTATTCCTATATGAAGACTTGATCATGACAAGGGTAATGAGGACTACATCTCATAAATACTAAGTTGAAGGAAATTAATATCACTATGACTGAAAACTTGATTTGGTTGAATCTATAGGTGTTTGAGACCAGTCATGCTGCCCTTACCATTTTGAGTTCTTACTTTGTTTTCCACGGGTCATTAGCAGAAGATTTACCCACAAGTGAACCATGCTGAGAGTTCAGTAAGTAGTTGAGGACTACATTCTTTTATAGTATGAATCAAAACTCAGTCATTTTACATGCTTCTACACCTGCCAGCACTTTTAAAATGTGCAGTGTCATCAGAAGCTGTTGAATGTATAATTCAGGAAGTAAAAACAGGATTCTATTTAGATAAAAAAGACCTCATGTTAACTTGATATGCGCTGCTGCACATGGCTTCATGCTGCACATACTTCACTTCAAGAACCATCCATTACAAAGGGCTTCCCCCCTCTGTAGAAAACCAGCAGTCAGAACACTAGGAAAAAATCAAGCCCTTTAAGCTTAATGCCTATGGTACAAAAAACTTCTTAATGATCTGCTAGATCAGTGACTAAAGAAATGACATAATGGCTCTTTCTATATGAATTCAGTGAAGGCACAGGAGATCACACACCACAGTAAATCAAATGAAGAAATATTTAAATACTGTTTAGTTCATAGATGAATGGTCTGGTAAACTGTAATGGAGCTTTTTGAGCCATTATGTTCTAATGAAAAAGTGCAAGTTCTCTGCATCTATTAGAAAGCAGGAACCACAGTGAAGCTGTAATGGTCTAGTGTGCCAAAGCCTATGTGGAGCATTTTTAATTAACTATTCATCTGCTCATTAGTTAGAATTAATGCAGACGGATCTATTAAGATCTACTGTGTCAAAGAGTTGTCAGGTCAGGAGTCTGTAAAGTCTGAAGATATATTACCTAGTCACAGTATCGTATTACAGACTGACAGAAGAATTGCGTCCTTAAAAAATAAAGCTAGCTCTGAGTAATGCTTCTGCAAGCAAGTATCTTAAATCTTCTTCAAAGAGCTATTTTTCCCAGTTCTGTAATTAATCAGAAGAACGTAATCTTAGATTTTTTTTCCTCTAACACAGCCGTGTTTGTCAGTTTCTGTAACATCATTTAAGAAATTTTAGTTGTGCCATCCTGAAATAATACTTCATCATCCTTTGTCCTCATAACCATGAAGGGAAGAGTTCTTGAGTGAAGTTATTCTGGGAACTGAATTTTTGACAGAAGGATTGGCAGCTGGGTTTGTTTGGCCTTAAGAAGAGAATGCAGAGGGCTCTCTTCAGCCAGTATGGGAGGGAGTAGAGAAGATGGAGGAAGACTCTTCATGGACTACAGTTGGTGCAAGAGGCATTAGATGCAAACTGCAAAAAGGGAAATTGTCATTAGGTATAAAGAATTTATCTATTTATTTGGAAGGGTTGTCAACTACTAGAGCAATTTGATCAGAGGATCAGAGAGTCTGTGGAAACTCCATCCTTATTAGTTGCACTAGGTTTTCTCTAAAGTCATATTCCAGTCTCTTCTTCTGTGATTCCGTGATTCCAGAAAATCTCTACATTGAAATTTTCAAATTTCATAGTAATGTAAAAAATGCCTAAAGTTTTAAGCAGATAAAGTACAAATATTTGGACATACTTATGAGACTATTTCTCTACCAACTGCCTACAACCTTTTTGCTGAGAAACTAAGTTATCATTTATCAAAACAATCTACATTTTTTTCGTTAATTACTGCCAACTTTCTGTTTCTTTTTACCTCAATGCTTCGCATGGGAAGAAAAGGTACAGAAATTATCCTCCGTTTGTCTACACATCAGGCAGTGAATCTGGATTACTCATTGTTACATAGAATCATGGAAGAACAGAACAGCTTATGTTGGAAGGGACCCCAAATATCATTTAGTTCCAACTCCTATGTCATGGGCAGGGACACCTTCCACCAGATCAGAATGGCCAGGGCACCATTCAGCCTGGTCTTGAACACCTTCAGGGATGGGACATCCACAGCTTCTCTGGCAGACTGTGCTAGTACCTCATCACCTTCTGAGTAAAGAATTTCTTGCCAATGTATAAGCTAAGTCTCTTCTCTTTCAGTTTCAAGCCATTTCTCCTTGTCCTATCACTATGTATCTCTGTAAAATTTCAGTCCCCTTCCTGCTTATAGCTCCACTCAAGTACTGGAAGGCCGCAGTGGGGTCTCCTCAGAGCCTTATCTTGTCCAACCGGAACAATCCCAGCTCTTTCAGTTTTTTCTTATATGAGTGTTGTTTCAACCCCCTGATAATCTCTGTGGTCTTCCTCTGGATGTATTCCAACAGCTCCACATCTTTCTTATGCTTTCTTGTACAACATTCTGCAATGAAACAATATTTTACACATGAATGTGTAAGTTCTTTGAAGAGCGGATCTTCTCCCTATACTACCCCAGAGGTCTTAAAACCATGCCACTTTATTTTATGGTATCAAATATTCCATAAATGTAGTACACTACAATTATCTTAAGAGGAAACCTATGCATGTGTTTAATATGATTAACTTCTTTGATGAATATCATTGTTTTCTATGGAAAAAAATAAGCTAGAGCATTGTAGCAGAAATGCTAAGTCATGGCCTGAACCAGTCACTGAGCACCTGTTGGGAAGGCAGGACCAACCCAGCAGAACTCAGGTGCAAGCAATGCACCTGAGTGACTGGGAGGGGTGGGGCCAGGATGCACCTCTTCCCAGACCTTATTTAAGGGTTGGCAGTGGAAATGAGAGCAATTTACTGGAGATTCCTGCCTATTGGGGGTCTTCTAAAGGTGGGTAGTTTTTTTTTTTTTTTGCTTTGTTTATGGGTGTATGACTCCTTCATTTAGGCTTGTTTTTATTTGATGTAGCCTAGGATTGTGCTTCTTCACTATTAATGCTGTTCTTTCTGTCACGTTATAGTATTACAAGTCTTCTCTGCAATAGTTTGTGATGTACCTGAAACACACAGGCTGTCTAAGCAGAAGCTGAATATTTCATTCAGTGTTTTTCTGGTTTTGTATTTTGGGATGAGGTTTGAAAAAAAAGCTTATTTAGATCCATCCAAGTACCTATATGTGATGTCAACAAGTTCTGCATAAGTACTAGGGTAACAAAAAAAAAGCTGAGATTTTTATCACTTTCAAAAAATACTAATATTAATTTATTACAAGGGGAGAAAAGGGGAGAAGAACTATATACACAGGTGAAATTTCACTGCTTGTAAAGCAGTACTTGTGCTTTCAGTCAATTAACAATGACCTGTGTTTGGTGTCCTTGATCTTAAACTGCAGTGGCTTTTGAAGATATCAGTAGATTTGGAATTTAGTCATTCTTAACGGAGTAAAGACCAGGAAGCATTTAAGCTTGTTTGCACACTTACCAGCCTTTATTGATATATCTGGAAACTTGGAACATTACTGAACATTTTGCTGAATCATAAAAAAAAATCTGTTGCAATAAGGATGTGTTATATATTTACAAATGTTCTGACTATATTTAGAAACAATATCTAGGTAAGTAGCTCTATAAAGCACACCATGAATCAAAGATGTGACAAGTTATTGTTGTGGCTTAACCCAGGAAGTAGCTAAACAACTTCTTGCTCACTCGCACACTCCCAGTGGGATGGGGGAGAGAATTGGGGAAAAAAAAAAATCTCAACATGGGTTGAGATGAAAACTGTTTACTGAGAAAAGGAAGAGAGGAATAATAATTATGATAATTAGGGGTGTGTGTGTGTGTATATATATATATGTATATGCAAAGAAAGTGATGTGCAAAGCAGTTGTTCCACCACCACTGACAAATGCTAAACCAGTGTTTGAGCAGCTGCAGCCCACCGGGCTACTCCCTGTTTTTATGGTTTTTGGTATGTGTATATTTTGTATGTCTTGGTAGATTTTGGTTGTACGGTATGGAAGATTCCTTTGGCCAGTTCAGGTCAGCTGTCCTGGTTCCGTCCGCTCCCAGCTACTTGTACCCCCAGATCCTTGCTGGCAGGATTGTTTAGAAGCTGAAAGACTGAAGTCTGCTTGACTCTGTACAGTGCTGCTCAGCAAAGACTCTTTAGTCTTTGCATCAAGGTTATCATGCAGTTTTTTTCCTAAAACCAAATCATAGTATCATACCAGTTAATATGAAGAAAATGAACTCTGTCCCAGCTGAAATCAGGGCTGTTATCTTTCACCTCTGAACATAATAAAGCCCATTCTACTTTTTTTCACCCTTGTGTGGCCTTCCTTGCCATATTAGGAATTAGAAAGTGCTTCTGTTTCTTTTCTTCCTCGGAAGGACGCGCATCAGCTTTCTCTTTCAGATCTGACTTTCTAATCCTTCTTAAATCTAATATTTTCTCACATTTAAATAAAACTCTTCCAATCTGATATCTGATACTAGTTCAAAGTGAGGCAATCAGCTAAGAATAACTAAAAATAATTACTCAAAGAGCAAGAAAAAAATCAATAACACGAGGAATCAGATTGAAATTTCTTCTGAAAAGAGCAACTGATCAAATCTTGCAATCAATATTTTGATTTTTTTTTTTTTTTTTTTTTTTTTTCCTCACATTGCAGAAATCTTTATAAAAGCTTCTGCACAGTTATGACACACCTGTGATCTCGGCTTCACCTGCAGGTCTCTGGGTACATATTCCTTTGCATTTCTGTATACCCAATTAAATAGAGTTTTTTCAGAAGGATAGTTAGTGAGAGAGTCTTAGTGCAAAAACTGTGCATGGAACTTATCTGCATTGTCTAGTGAAGTGCATGACCAAAAGATCTTTGCACTTCTCACTTGTTCAGAGAGGGTGCAAAACCTGAATCTGGCAAGAGTCCCTGGAATGTGTCCAGAGAAGGGCAACGAAACTGGTGAGGGGTCTGGAACACAACCTTTATAAGGTGAGACGGAGCGAGCTGGGATTGTTTAGTCTGGAGAAGAGGAGGCTCAGAGGAGACCTTATTGCACTCTACAACTTTCTGAAGGGAGGTTGTGATGAGGAAGGGTTTGGTATCTTCTCCCTGGCAACAAATAGGACCTGAGAAAGTGGCTACAAGTTGCACCAGAGGAGGTTTAGATTAGACATAAGGAAAAACTTTTTCTCTCAGAGAGTGGTCAGGCACTGGAATGACCTGTCCACAGAGGTGGTGGAGTTGCTGTCCCTGGCAGTGTTCAAGAGGCATCTGGATGAGGAGCTATGAGATATAGTTTATTGGCTTGTGGTAGCAATGGTAATAGGAGGAAGGTTGGACTGGATGATCTTGTAGGTCCTTTCCAACCTTGTGATTCTATGATTTTAAGATCTTTTCAGTTAGATGAGGCAAGCTTTTTCTCATACTGAGGGTAATGCTTACTGAGGTGGGTTGTAGGTGACTGTACTTTGCATTTCAGAGGAAGCAGTCATGCTTTTTCAAAGTGACTAAGTATACTAGTCAAGACTTCACAGGACCGAGATCTTTGTTACCTAAACCTTTAGCATCAAGTTAAACAAAATATAGTATAATCCTCATACTCAGATGAACTTTACTTTTAACATATTTTAGCCAAATAATAGAAGCTCTAGCAGTTGTAAGATAGCAAGATGACTTTGATGACTCTAAGCATTAACCATTTTTTTTTTTTCCCCCTCAAACTTGCTGCCCAATCTTCAGCAAGTTTCTTCATCGCGCAGAACCACTCCTCCACTTTTAAACATGTAGTATGTCATGTGCCATGTGCTAGGATTCTAGTAGTCCATCCTTTTTCATTTGTGATTTGCTCTATTTTGGTTTAAATTATATTTAGGCAGTAAGGATGTGCCTTTTTCTGAAGTTTGTGTAATACCAAGTGTGAAAGTATGGCTGGAACTTCCTGAAATGTTAATAAGTCACAGATTCAGGATCTTGGGTTTGAGACTAAAGGGCATTGTGGCAACTGAGCAGGCTCAGATACCTTTGGTACCACTTTAATGCCAAATACTGGCAGTTAGTGACTTAGGAGTTCCCTTGTCCCATGCAAAATTCCATGAGGAAAGTTGCAGGTGCAGTACGGCAGCTGGAGTCACGTAGATGGTTGTCATGGGGCCAAGTCGGAACATCTATAGGCTCTTTGCCTCTTCAACTCAGGACAGTAGTTAGATGGGTAAAGAACATTCCATTCTTGATTAGCTTTGTTCAAATTTGAGTGGTGCCTGTCAGCTGTCTGTCACTGCTTGTAGTTAAGCTGTGCCTTGAATCTGTAGGGCTCACTGAAGCTCATAGACTAACATCCTGATCAATTGATCCTAACTGTCCATTTCAAAATTACCTTCATAACCTCACAGCATCCTTTATATGCATGTATTTCAGGATGTTTGACTTTCTTACTCATTTGCTACTGGAGTGGAGATGGATTTGGTCACCTCCGAGAGCAATGCCAACATGAACGCATGAAAAAGCAGACAAGGGAAAGCCAGTGGGCATCAAGGTCAGAAGCAAAACTGATTCCCTAACACCAGAGCCAACAACAGAAGGGAGAGAAAATCATGTTTTCTCTAATGCATGATCGTAAAGTACTTACACAGCTCTGAGCTCAGTGAAGAGGAGGAGATAGTCTAAAAAGACAGGCAGAATGTTTCACATGAAACGGTCTCGCTACTAAGGAAGTGAGAGGCGAGAGAAATTTTTTTGAAAGGAGAGGAGAAAGCTAGACATTTATTCCATTCATCAAAGGGAAGGAAGAAGCAAATGAATCAGAAATCAAAGATTGAATATCATTGGTCTTGCTGACAAAGCAATCAGCAATCCTCTCACAGCAAGTGCAGGGGTTTGTTGAACAAAGCAAAGGAATTTAAAAGTCTTGAATAAAAATAGAATCTTTCCATTTATAAAATTAGACATAAGTTCAGAACAGTGTTTTGATTTAGGAACTGTAAAGAATTTCTGCATTAAAAATATATAAATCCCAATTTTGTGATGTACAATTAATAACAACTTTGTCCAAACCCTCTCCAGCATCCTTTGTAATTCTCTTAAGAAAGCATTAAATGAGGGCATCTTCACTGTAGTTGAAAATCAATGACGCTTCAATGAAGCGTACATTTCCAAAATATTATGCAACTGAGAAGCATGCTGTTCTGCAGCTAATCCAAGAGGTCAGGACTTCCTAAGTAATACTGCTGATTTAGTAGCGGGAATTACAATTAACAGCTTCAGAATTTGTAGGTGCATTTGTTACTTACCTAGAAGTCTCAGGGCAATCCCCTGGGGTTACTAACTTCAAACTGAATAATGCAATGCTCAATCAATAGAAACCAAAGGATAATTATATGTAATTTTTTTGTGAAAATATGATTTCAGCTTGTGTGTGTGTGTGTGACAGAGGAACCAGAGCATGAAGGCAATATGGGAAAGAAACAAGAATCCAGAGCTTTGTGTCCAGCCATGATTGAGTAACTGCAGAACCACAAACTAAGCTTCCATCTATTGCAAATCCTGTTCCTGTTTTAATTTCATCTATGTGAACTGTAAACTTTCTGTAACTCCTGAATCTGTTTTTACAACCCTGAATAGATGGCTGAAATTACTTTCAGTTGGGTTATAGAAAAAAGTGTCTAGTAGTAGACATGTACTGGATGGGAAAAAATATCCAAAAAGGGAAGAAAAGTTAATATAAATATCTGATTAAGTAGTTGCTGAGTATCTCACTTTCATTGTTAGCAGGAAAGAAACAAAAGCTGCAAAAGCATGAACAAGTAATTTGCTTCCCAAATGGATATCCAAATACATTGCCACCACTCCTTTCCTCTTTCAGCTTTCTGTCCAATGACTCTTTACTGTAGAAGCATATAGATTGATATTGTACTTGTTCTACTCTTCAAATTTTGGCTGTAGTTATTAAAACAAAATTTAAAAAAGATGAGGAGAAGAAATCAGCTAAGACTGCTTCCTTGAAGTGGCAAACCTTCTAGTGTCTAAGGCCAACTTTCTGTTAAACATCTCACTTTATGTTAGGTACCAGTTATATAATGCCTAATCAGCAAAAATCTTGGGGTGTGTGTGAATGTGTGTGCATGTTTAATAATAACAAACTTGTATTAAAAAAGCCAAAAAAGGAATTTCTAATAAGAAAGGAAGTGCTTGCTTTTGGAGAAATTAACTGCTCCAGTGGATTGCAAAGATAAAGCAGAAGAAATTATCCAATAATTTGTCTGTTATAATTAGAGATGGGCCTGAGATCCTACATTCCCAGCCAGATCCAAATTATGGGGGCATCTGGAGCTGGGGTTATAATTTTGTCTGATTTTCACTCAGGCTAATGTGAAGAACAGATAAAAGCTGGGGAACCTGGTCCCTTGCTGCAGCATGCAAACAACTCTTATGGACTTTAAAGGCACTTACCCAAATCCTATGGCAGAAGATTAGGAGCCAATTGCTGTAAGTTCGTGCATCTTATTCATGATATTTTCCCTTTGGTTATAATACTGAAAGCTATCTTATGGCATTGAGACAGTGTTAATTAGTTACTTGCCTTCTGCAGTGGTAGACCTGAGACCCATAGGTTTCCAAAACTAAATTTTTAAAACATGCCTGAGAAGCAGCCATTTTTTTTCAGCAAAATGAAGCTTTCCCTCCTCCCAAAACATATTTCATAACTTTTCTTTGCCTAAATGGATGGTGATATTTAGAGGAAGGGAGAGAAGAGTTGCAGCAACCATGGGCGGGACATAATGCTTTTTGTGAATCATCTTAACCAGTAGGCCACCCATTTATCAGTTAAAGAGCAGGACTGATGGAGACCACTGAAAATCAACATGTGGCATGCAAGTGTGTGGACACCTGTAAGGAGGCTGAGCAGTGTGCTTCAGATCTAGCAGGTATAGCTTGTCTGTCTCTGCTATCAGTGGCCAAGTAATGGTCCTGCAGACCAGTATCAATATGGGACCATACTGCACCTCCCCTCCTGCCTCATGTTCTTTCATTCAGATGACAGCAGGCCCTGCTTAAACACACACATCTTCTATAAAGGTGCTATGAAGATGTAGCTGGGGTAAACTACATGGCTGTTTATAATGGAGCCTGAGCTTCTACCTAATAGACGGTAAAAATCAGTTGGTTCTTCTCAGTTGCATCTACAACAAAAGCTGACCAGGTACAGTAGTGCAAATCACCTGTTCCTGCTGCTTGTCTTTATTAAGAAGGGAGTGATTGTAAGGCATGAGGAAATGGAAGATACTGCATGTGGATAATCTGTTAGATGAGCAAAAATTAGTAGCAGTGGTGATAACGACCAAGATGAATCTGAAGAAGAGGAGCCTCGGAAGCAAAAAACCTCAACAGTTTTTATGCAGTGGTTTAAAGAAGCAGCTCAGGGTAAGAAAATCATTCACATGAGAGTTTCCCCTTGCTTTTTAACAACAAATGGAAGTGATGCTGAGAAAGATGCTTTGTGAAGGGGAAAGTTACCAAAAGGTGAGAAATAACTGTTCAGCAGTGCCAACAAACTGGTACTGATATTCCAGGAAGGCTGCTGCCACCATCAAAGCATCTGGCCTGAGCCAGCCCATGCAAACAACAGAAGGTGTAATTGCATTGCTGATTCTGGTTACCACAAGTTCAAAAAGAGTGAATAAAGCACCCTATAAACATGAACATATTCCTGCTAATTAAGTAAAAACTAAAACAAAAAACAAAACAATTATCAAGCAAATGAAGGAAGCTAAAATCAACCAAAACCCTATAAAATCTGCAGAAAAAAGCAGCTAAAAACATGACTAAAGCAGACCTCAAAGCGTAGCAGCCATCTGTGCCAGCAAGGATCTAGTAATAATGCAACTCCTAATAGCAACATGAATAATAAAAGTAAAACTCTCATGAGTTGCTATGTTTTTTATTTTTGGTGGGTTTTTTTTTTTTTTTCAGCAACAGTAATAGATTTTTCTCTGTGGTCTCTGCTCTTTACGTATGGATCATTATAACTGCTGTTAACAATTGCAAGGAGGATCCTCCTTTTCAGATATAACTTTAGGGCTTACTTACATTCACTGGGTTAAATCCAGCTTGGGGAGCTCAATACTGTGCTCCAAGGATTTCCAGGAAGAACTTTTCACCCTGCAGCTGTGGAGCCAAAGCTCCCACTGTTGTACTTTCACTGTCAGGAATTTGAATCACAGATGTTTCTGGAAGGTATTAAGCTAAGAGACAGTGTAGGTATGCAGGTCTTCTTTGCTCCATTAAACATCTCTCCTTCCCTTTCTTTCCTGAATGCTATAGAGATCCTCTTGCTCTTTGGTGAACTGAGATGTTCAAGCAACAAACGATCACTATGGAAGCTGCAGGAGAGTTATTGCTTGGCAAGGGAAGCTTCTGGCCATACTGATAGTAGATGGAGTAAGAGTAGCAAAATGGAAAGGTTGTCTCAGCTGGGGTCCTTGGAGAAGTTTGGATTATCAGAAGGACAATAAAAAACTTTTATTGTATTGAGGTTTTTAAATGCAGGGAGAAAGGTACAAAAGAAAAACAAGTGTTGGACATAGAAATGGCAGTACTCAAGACATCCCCATGTTGTCTGTTACCCACTTCTTAAGTTTCCAAAAGTGGAGAGAAGATCTCCCATAGGACAGCTCTGATGTTCTTGAAAGCTTACCAAGGCCAACCAAGCCTAAATAGCACTTATGTACACCTTATCCACAACTGTAATATCATCAGAGCTTCGTAAAACATGCATGACATTTCTCCTAGATCCTAATGAGGGAAGTGCTGGAAGACAGAAGCTACAGAATCATAAAAATCTTTCCTACAACTTTTCAATCCATAAATCTCTCAAGACTCCTTCCAAACCCTGCAATTCTGTCATTCTATGTTTCGATAAGGGCATAGACTGTAGAAGAGAGAAAATATGTTTCATAATAAAGGAGTATTTAGGAGAATGAGATTTTGGAGTTAGTTTTGTGTTCTCTTTGTTTCTGTAGGCAGAAACTCCATCAAAGAAATCTCATGTTAAATTCTACAACGTATTTCAACTTGCCAGTCCTTTGAAAATGCAGATGTCTGGTCTTGCTTGGTGCAGTAGAAAGCTGTTCTTCTGCATGCAATTTCTACCTAGATCTCCCTGTGGGAGAAATACTGTTAATTTGAGGCAACAGCTTCCCAACAGAGATTGCCCAAGAATGAATTCCTTGTGCCCCCATTATGTCTGCTCCCAGCTGGAGAGTCTTTCAGCAGATACACTGTGCCTTCACAATTCTCTACTAGGTGAATTTTCTGCTACTACGTTAAGCATTGTGCTATGTCCCCTGTGTAACATTGACTGAAATGTAGAAACGATCAAGTCATCTGAAAGGATACGAGGAGGTTTTAATTTCCTGAAATAGACCTGCTGTTCAGGCAGTATTGCCTTCTCCATAATAGGAAGTTCAGGAATATCAATTTCTAAATTTGTCTATTCAAATTAGCCTATTACCATTAACGCCAACTCCATTGAAAAAACCATGAGTCAGGCCCCTCCTCAAGCCATGGGAATCTAATGATGTAGAAACATTGTCCCTTTTTCTTTGTCATCTGATGTTTTAAGCCATTTGGAGTCAGGTTTTCATGTTCTCCTTCACAAAGGCAAGATTGGAAATTTACTTTCATTCCTCCACATGAGAAGAAAGGATTTCTTGTCATTGTACAAGTTCAGGAGCTGAGCCAATGTTGAACTGCAGGAGCAGACAACACTGCTTGATGTTTTTTTTTTTTTTTTTTTTTTCAGGTGCTTCTATCGCAAAGAAATGGTGCACACCATCATGAACAAGTTAATTGGTTAGACCTGTCCAAGAATCTGTGCACAGACACTTAAATGCACAGTCATAATCTCATACAAAAATAGAGCTGGAAAAAGCTCAATCTGGTCCACCTCTTTGGTTACAGATGAAATCTCTAAATCTGTGCCATTCTTGCTCAGCCTGTCCTGAAGGATCCCCAAAAGTGGAAGCACCATCATCTCCTCAGTGATTCATCGCCTTATATTTAGAGAATCATTCCTAAATTGCAACTTGAATCTCGTGTGTTGTAATTTAAGATCATCTTGTCTAAACCTGTGACCTACCACAGAGTATTTATTGTTCCATTCCACTGTGCAACAGCCTTGTCAGATGTCCTGATAGTTTTTCTCAAGCTAAATAACTCAGTCTTTCAATCTTCCCTGTTAGACAGTATTTCCTAGTGCTCTGTGCATTGTGCTCTGGAAGTCTCTCCAAATGATTCAGTTTCTGCTGAAGTACTGTATCCAAATCAAGACATGCAATTTTAATTAAACTTTACCAGGACAAGGTAGACAGTAAGGACTATTCCACTTGTCTTGCTGTTAAATTTTTGTTTATGCACTCTTGCATCTTATTAACCATCTTCATATCAGTTTGATGTTACTGCTCAGGTTCAGCTTGTAGATCCCTATGCCCTCTTGAACTGTTTTTAAGCCAATCAGCTGCTCATTCTTCTATTATGCAGCTGCTAATTCCTACTTATCATTAAAACTTCACACTTACTAAACAGCCACTATATGTTTTTCAGACTTTTCCTTCAATTTGTGAAAAACATTTTGATTTCTAGTTCTGTCTCCAAATGTGCGTGCAGTCTGTCTCTGCTTTGTGTCAGCAGCAAATTTAATAAGCATATTCTCTATTGTCTGAATTCCAGTATCCAGAACAACTATTGCAGAACCTCAGCTGATACATTCCAATACCCTTAAAGAAAAGGGTATAGGTAGTGCTTAGGGACATGGTTTAGTGGTGGACTTGGTAGTGCCAGTTGTTGGTTAGACTTGATGATTTTAAAGGTCCTTTCCAGCAGAAATGTTTCTATCATTCTCCGATTCTGGGTAGAGTTTCCTGATCCAAATTTTAATCCATGACAAGTAGTTTCATTCAGACTACATTATCTTAAAAACAAACAAACACACACAAACAACACTAACAAAGGCCTTTGTAAAGCAAAACCTGCCACTCCCATTTTTTTCTGTATGTACCAGAAAAAGCACATTTCAAGACTAGTGAACTAATCCCATTTTAAGAATGTTGGTCACTGCCATACTGCCATAGTTGTTTTTAGTTTATAAATATTTATAGCCATCTGTAATTACCTTCAGAAGACTCCTATGGATTTCCACAGAAAATATCTTTGCTATCTCCCAGAAACCTGTGCCTAGCTATTACTTCTGTTAGTCTTTTCTCTGGCACCTAATTCTAAGAAATCCCCCAGAAGTAACATCAGCTATTTAATTCCTGTGTCTATGGCTCCTCACAGAATGTCTACAAGTGGGCTAACATACATTCACTTCAACATTTCAGGCCTGTCTAAAAGAAATAAAGGCCAATCATATACAAGCAGCAGATTTCAAATAGAAAACAACTAAACGTCTTATAGAAAGAACGTGGTCAAATAATGAAAAATAATTGTACTTGAGAAGATCCGTTTGTTCTGCAGCATACCAAATTGTTCTTGAAAATTTTGTTGAGCTTAACTTGTACAATATTGCAGAGAAAGTCTCATGTTTCTTAAGAGGCAATACATGCAGAGGGGTGACCCACAATTTCATGTGTGACTTCTATTCTGCAGTAGGCTTCATGCAGTAGCTGGGAGTCAGTAACATCATGAGGCTTCATGCAAATATGAAGTCCTGGCTGCCCATTTCAGTTTAGATTCAGGGATTGTGTTTGAAACCTCAGGAGTAATTCACTTGTGGATCTGTTCTGGGGAATGATCTGCACTCTATCACTTCAGTAGACTGTTCATTTTTCAGAAGCACATTGAGACAGTCCAACAGAAAATTATGTTAAAGACATTCTGTGAGATCTTGTAATTTGTATACAAGTCTGGGGAAGAGCACTGAATCAAGAAAACTTAATTTTGACAGTCCTGATATATAGTCTATTTTGGTTAACCAAAAGGAACACATACATTTTCTACATTAGAGAAATTTCCATTATTTTTCTCTCAGCCATGAAAATCGATTTTGATGTGATTACACTCAGAGGCTTCTTGATGTGCTTCTGACAGTACAAAATGGATAGAAACGGTGGGTGGTGTTGAATTGAGGATACTGTGGTTTGCTGAACTCTGTCACAAACCAAAAGTGCTAAGATTAAAGCACACACCCTTAATGTATTGAGCAAAGAAGTGAGCCTTAGGAAAAATGGTGATTACAACATTTTGATGTTGAAGATTGCAAAAGATTCTGAGCTTTCATCATCTCCTGTTCACTGTATTCACTGACATTTGTAGGACTAGAAAGAGATAACCAAAATTCAGCAGATAAAAGCAGACCTTAACAATAAACAATAGGGTAATACCTAAACATAGATGGACATATGTAAAAAGAATAGCCGTGGTCTTTGGAGCTGTACAAGTCTTACAGGCTTTCATTTTGTTCATGTTGATTACAATGGTCTAACATGGCTTCGTGGACATTTCTTCCCTTCCTGTGACCATTTTATTTCCATTTTTCCATATTCTAAATAAGTTGTCTTTTCTACATTAAATGTTTACTGTTAGCCTATTAGTAAGGCTAACAGTAAACTCTTATGCCTGGAGAATTTTAAATTCTTCAAAAATACTAATTCAGAATAATTAGAAAGTAAACAAATGAGCAATAGGTGAATGCCGTAAAGCTTGAAGTAGTTTCAAATTGCTTAGGTATTCAATTGTGATCATCTTCTGAAAAATGTTTCATTTCTGCAATACTGGAGCTTACCATCTAGCTATTCAGGCACAGTTGTTCCATGAAATTTTAATTATGTTTTCTTCTAGCATGACTAAGATTTTGTTGCTTCTCTACCAACTGTTGTAAACTTTAGTGCATATTTTGATATCAGATAAGTAAAATTAGAAGAAAAACAATGTTTTTGTAAATTTGTCAAAATATAAGTTGCTATCTCAGTTTTGCATAGGAACTGTGTATGACTGGCAGCTTTTATGTTATGTACTGGGACAAGGGAATTTGGAAAATTCATGAAGTATTGACTTTTTGCTGTAAAAGAAATATTATGATTACTGTTTGTCTTCAGTTATTCTTTCTGTTCTAAGTGACAACAAGTAGCCATAGGTATATAAAAAACATTTTTGGATATTAATTTCATATTTTAAAACCATTAAAATAGTTTATTCTTGCAAGGACTTTAAATATAAGAACAAGCTGGTTTGGAATTCATTCACTCTCAGTAGCACTCTAATGGAGTTAAATAAAGATGCAATCAATAGGGTTATATACATAATAAATCAAGTCCTATGGAAATGCTATAAAGTGTACACAATTAAATACCAGTTTATATCCATCTTAGTTGCTAACTACTTCAAAGAACTGAAAAGAGAATTATAGTCTGGATTAAGTTTGAAGCATGTGTGAAGCTTATAGCTCCCATTGACAACGAAGACTAGCACACTAATGAATACTTTTCTGACTCAAGACTTTAATCACTCTGAACTTCAATTTTCTCCATATAAATAATAGTTCTTCATCTCAGAATATTGTTGTGAAATACATCCTTTAATTTTGCAAAAAACGTTCAGATATAAAAGTTAAGGAAGTTAGTTGTGCACAGGCAAGTATTTCTGCCAATAGCAGTCATTTTTCCTTTGTATTTCTCTCAGTACTGAAACAGTTGTGTTTTGCTTTCTACCTTTCATTGCTTGCCTGCTCCAGTTCATAATTTTGCCATATATCATTTTTTCATGTTTTTCCATGAGCGAAATAAGCTTTTAAAAATAAGGTCCCGCTGTTTGTAACTCATCTAAATAAAGAGGTGATCAGTCCTTTTCATAACTCAGGCTAGGACATACAACATTTTTTCTATTGAATAATAGTATTTTCACTATAATAATTTTGATAAACTGTAGAGACTGCATCATCTCAAACAACTAGATGGCTTAAGAGAGCTGATATCCCACCTGCAGATGCTGAATGGCTAAGTGCAACTTGAGCAGTGGGACCAGGTGAACCTTGTGAGATTCAACAAATCCAAGGGCAGGATCTTGCGCTTGGGTTGTGGCAACCCCCACTATCAGTACAAGCCAGGGGACAAAAGGATAGAGCACAGCGCTGCTGAAAAGGACATGGAGGTACAGGTGGACAGCAAGCTGGACATGAGCTAGCAATGTACACAAAGATTCTAAAGTCCCCAGACTCAACCATCCAACTTAGGATGCATCAATAGAAATGTTGTCCAGAGAATTGGTGGATCCCCCATCTCTGGAGACATTCAAGGTCAGGCTGGATGTGACACTGAGCATTCTGATCTAGCTGTAAGTGTCCCTGTTCATTGTAGGGGAGTTTAACTAGGTAACTTTTAAAGATCCAACTCAATCATTTGTTAATACTGAAGTAATTAGTATTTTGGAGATTTGAAAAACTCTTTGGTGATAGGAAGATCATCTAACTTCATTACAGCTGTGTAAAGGTTAAGGTACGGTGTAAGGTTGCCATCTATATGATTTTGTTTTAATTGAGAGATAAACATCTTCAAAGACTGACACAACCCACCTACTCTACGCTTCTCTTCCACGATGGATGAACTATTGGAGGTATTTCTTGCTTTCCACTGACTGCAGAGGAAACCTAGACAGCTAGTTTGAACTAGATTACATGACAAGATTAAACCATTCTTCAAAAAGCTAGGATTAGAAGATGAATGGTACTTCTACACTCTTAAAAACAAACCCAGCTTTGAGTGCTTTGTTTCTGAATATGGAATTTTATTGCATTTGAAATTGTTATTCTCTCTACATTTTTACAGTGTGAATGATGGAAAAGTATTAGGCAGTAGTTAAATCTTAATAAAAAGTGCTTAACAAGCAAGAAGTATTTATATAGTATCCTATTAATCTAAATTAAACTCAGTTAAGTCCTTTTGGGATAGTTACATGGTATATTCTATCCTTAATATGTTCACATTTCTCCCTTTACTGTTCGACTGAAGAATATGTATGTATCAAGAGAAAATGATTTCCATGGGGTTTCATTTTTAAAACTGGACATTCAAATTTTACTATTAGGTCAAATCTTGAAGTCCTTGCTAAGTATTTTCTCAATTATCATGTTATCAAGATTTTCATAGACCACCTTTTACTCTTTAATGGTTTGATGTGCAGTTACTGTAAGTTTCACATCTAATTTTCCCAGTTTGCAAATGTATCTCTTAATATAAGGTTTTATTTGCAATGCAGTTTTGACTGCTTAGGGGTATTTTATTTTTGTTTTGTTTGCTCTCCACAGTTCTGTAGATATAAATATACTGGCTTACTGTTCAGTTTTTCCCTCCAGCTTCAAAATAACTATAATCCAGTGACTTCACATTTATTTTCCTTGAAAAATTCCTCGATCTATAGAGATTTACTCAACTAATCTGCAGGCAATTCTTCATCTTGGAAGATGGGATTTTGTATTGTAATATCTTAACATATCCTCTACTGATACGTTCTTTGTACCTATATCAGGTTGCACATCCTACAAAATGTGGTGAAAAGGTGGGGTTTAATGCATCCATAGTTCTTTTCCTTTCTGTGTATCTTCAGCTTTTACACAAGTCAGGGTTGACAATAAGGAGTAAGAAGAGAGAATGCTACTCCCTCAATTCTTATACCCAATTACAGCCTCCAGTTCTCTAGAGCTTTGCCTTGGTTACTGTTTTGTGAAGGACTGAGAGTTTGTGAAGCAGAAAGTGTTGAGCCCCCTTCTCAGATCTTTCCACTTTCCGTATATGCTCTCTCTACTTGTCTCACAGCACAGACTCTTGTTCTTTCATATTGTAATAGACGTGTTGTAATACTGTAATTAACATGACACTTCCTTTTTCTCCTCCATCATCTGTCTAGTGACCCTATAGCTGAGAAATGAAAAGAGGTTTTCTGTGGAAAAAAATGGTTTGATTTGATTCCTGTTATGTTTATATTTCTGACAGTGTGTTCAAGAGCTTTTCAGAGATATTCTCTGATTGGTTGTTTGG